AGGACCCAATTATTCCTTGTCTAGGACAGTCAACCAATACTGGTCTAGGACACGATTATTCCTTGCTGAGGACAGTTAACCAATACTGGTCTAGGACACGATGATTGCTAGTCCAGGACCCAATTATTCCATGTCTAGGACAGTCAACCAATACTGGTATAGGACACGATGATTGCTAGTCCAGGACCCAATTATTCCTTGTCGAGGACAGTTAACCAACACTGGTATAGGACCCAATTATCCCTTGTCTAGGACAGTCAACCAATACTGGTATAGGACACAATGATTGCTAGTGTAGGACACAATTATTCCTTGTCTAGGACAGTAAACCAATACTGGTCTAGGACACAATGATTGCTAGTATAGGACCCAATTATTCCTTGTCTAGGAATACTGGTCTAGGACACAATGATTGCTAGTCCAGGACCCAATTATTCCATGTCTAGGACAGTCAACCAGTACTGGTATTGGACACGATGATTGCTAGTCCAGGACCCAATTATTCCTTGTCTAGGACAGTTAACCAATACTGGCCTAGGACGCAGTGATTGCTAGTGTAGGACCCAATTATTCCTTGTGTAGGACAGTCAACCAATACTGGTCTAGGACACGATTATTCCTTGCTGAGGACAGTTAACCAATACTGGTCTAGGACACAATGATTGCTAGTGTAGGACACAATTATTCCTTGTCTAGGACAGTTAACCAATACTGGCCTAGGACACAATGATTGCTAGTGTAGGACCCAATTATTCCTTGTCGAGGACAGTTAATCAATACTGGTCTAGGACCCAATTATTCCTTGTTGAGGACCGTCAACCAATACAGGTCTACATTGATTACTAGTGTAGGAAACCATAAATCAATCCCTGTCTATAACCTTGGAGGGACAGACTATGATGTTGGAGTAATGGTTCATGTAGAGCTAGAATATTAGAGTAATGGTTCATGCACAGCTATAACCTTGGAAGGACTGTCTATGATGTTGGAGTAACTGTTTATGTAGAGCTATGACCTTCGAGAGACAGTCTATGGTGTTGTAGTAACTGTTCAAGTAGAGCTATGACCTTGGAGGGACAGTCTATGATGTTGGAGTAACTGTTTATGTAGAGCTATGACCTTGGAGGGGCAGTCTATGATGTTGGAGTAATGGTTTATGTAGAGCTATGACCTTCGAGGGACAGTCTATGGTGTTGTAGTAACTGTTCAAGTAGAGCTATGACCTTGGAGGGACAGTCTATGATGTTGGAGTAACTGTTTATGTAGAGCTATGACCTTGGAGGGGCAGTCTATGATGTTGGAGTAATGGTTTATGTAGAGCTATGACCTTGGAAGGACTGTCTATGATGTTGGAGTAACGGTTCATGTAGAGCTATGACCTTCGAGGGACAGTCTATGGTGTTGTAGTAACTGTTCAAGTAGAGCTATGACCTTGGAGGGACAGTCTATGATGTTGGAGTAACTGTTTATGTAGAGCTATGACCTTGGAGGGGCAGTCTATGATGTTGGAGTAATGGTTTATGTAGAGCTATGACCTTGGAAGGACTGTCTATGATGTTGGAGTAACGGTTCATGTAGAGCTATGACCTTCGAGGGACAGTCTATGGTGTTGTAGTAACTGTTCAAGTAGAGCTATGACCTTGGAGGGACAGTCTATGATGTTGGAGTAACTGTTTATGTAGAGCTATGACCTTGGAGGGGCAGTCTATGATGTTGGAGTAATGGTTTATGTAGAGCTATGACCTTGGAAGGACTGTCTATGATGTTGGAGTAATGGTTCATGTAGAGCTATGACCTTCGAGAGACAATCTATGATGTTGGAGTAATGGTTCATGTAGAGCTATGACTTTGGAGGGACAGTCTATGATGTTGGAGTAATGGTTCATGTAGAGCTATGACCTTGGAGGGACTCTCTATGATGTTGGAGTAATGGTTCATTTAGAGCTATGACCTTCGAGAGACAATCTATGATGTTGGAGTAATTGTTCATGTAGAGCTATGACCTTGGAGGGACTGTCCCTCCAAAGTCATAGCTCTTCATGAACCATTACTCCAACATCATAGAGAGTCCCTCCAAGGTCATAGCTCTACATAAACAGTTACTCCAACATCATAGACAGTCCCTCAAAGGTCATAGCTCTACATGAACCATAACTCCAACATCATAGACTGTCCCTCCAAAGTCATAGCTCTACATGATGTTGGAGTAATGGTTCATGTAGAGCTATGACCTTGGAGGGACTGTCTATGATGTTGGAGTAATGAATCATGTAGAGCTATGACCTTGGAGGGACTGTCTATGATGTTGGAGTATTTGTTCATGCAGAGCTATGACCTTGGAGGGACTGTCTATGATGTTGGAGTATCAGTTTATGTAGAGCTATGACCTTGGAGGGACAGTCTAGGACCTTCCAGGGATGGTGAATGAACTTAGAGGAACTGTCTTTGACCTTGGGATCACTTTACAACTATGAATGGACATATGTACAGTCTACCACGATAGAGAAAACGTCTATGATGTTGGAGGAACAGCTTATATAGAGCTTTGACCTTGAAGAAACAGTCTATGACCTTGGAGGAACAGTCTTTAATGCAGCTAGATCTTCACCTAGGAGGGACAGTTGTTATAGGATTTTGACTTAGGAGAAACATTTTTTATAGAATTTTGACCTTGAAGGGACAACCTATGACCTTGGAGGGATATTCTAAATAGATTTTGACTTTGAGGTCTATATAGAACTTTGACAATCTTTGACCTCCTTCCTGAGGGACAGTCTATGGTATAAAAGGAAATGTTGCTATGTATTTCCTTCTCAGGTTTTTTAATCACAACAGTCAAAGGTATTAAATTGAGACAAATTGATTGACCACTCATGTTTCTATCAACAAAACTTGTTTTGTAAACAGTACCGTGTAACGGGAACATTTACCTCATCATACACTATTGTTCTGAAAGAAAGTACTGAAAAATAGGGTACCAGTACAATTAAGAGTTTAAAAATGAACTATGCAAAACTTTGGATCATACGTATCTCAGAGAATGACAATACAAGAACGACACACATCTAATAAGGTCATAAGTATCTCAGAGAATGACAAGACAGGGACGACACACATCTAGTAAGGTCTTAAGTATCTCAGAGAATGACAAAACAGGGACGACACACATCTAATAAGGTCATACGTATCTCAGAGAATGACAATACAGGAACGACACACATCTAGTAAGGTCTTAAGTATCTCAGAGAATGACAATACAGGGACGACACACATCTAATAATGTCATAAGTATCTTAGAGAGTGCCAATACAGGGACGACACACATCTAATAATGTCATAAGTATCTTAGAGAATGACAATACAAGGATGACACACATCTAGTAAGATCATAAGTATCTTAGAGAATGACAATACAAGGATGACACACATCTAGTAAGGTCATAAGAATCTCAGAGAATGACAATACGGGGACGACACACATCTAATAAGGTCGTAAGTATCTTAGAGAATGACAATACAGGGATGACACACATCTAGTAAGGTCATAAGTATCTCAGAGAGAATGACAATACAGGGATGACACACATCTAGTAAGGTCATAAGTATCTCAGAGAATGACAATACAGGGACGACACACATCTAATAATGTCATAAGTATCTTAGAGAATGACAATACAGGGATGACACACATCTAGTAAGGTCATAAGTATCTTAGAGAATGACAATATAGGGACGACACACCTCTAGTAAGGTCATAAGTATCTCAGAGAATGACAATACAGAGACGACACACATCTAATAAGGTCATAAGTATCTCAGAGAATGACAATACAGGGACGACACACATCTAATAATGTCATAAGTATCTTAGAGAATGACAATACAGGGACGACACACATCTAGTAAGGTCATAAGTATCTAAGAGAATGACAATACAGGGATGACACACATCTAATAAGGTCATAAGTATCTTAGAGAATGACAATACAGGGACAACACACATCTAATAAGGTCATAAGTATCTTAGAGAATGACAATACAGGGACGACACACATCTAGTAAGGTCATAAGTATCTCAGAGAATGACAATACAGGGATGACACACATCTAGTAAGGTCATAAGTATCTTAGAGAATGACAATACAGGGACGACACACATCTAGTAAGGTCATAAGTATCTTAGAGAATGACAATACAGGGACGACACACATCTAATAAGGTCATAAGTATCTCAGAGAATGACAAAGCTCAAAGACAATCCTTATACTCTAACAACAAATTCTGAAGATTCACACTGTCTAAGATAAAAGGTCAATGAGAAATACTTACACTGTGAAGTGGTAAATGAAACACTTCCATCCTGTCGGCCGCTCCAGGAAGTTGTACACTTTTCCTTGAATTGAAGCTTTTATACTATGTTTGGTCTTAACTTTATACCTATCCTCAAGAATTTTATCCATTTGGGAAATGACAGGTTTAAATTCCAACCAAGCTGCATTGGAGCAGTATGAGTCTCCCCCCGAGGTTCCTCCCCCTCCCGAGTCAAACTGTACACTGTCAACCCCTTCATTATTGTTTCCTGGCCCAGACAGCTGGTAGGTCACTTCCTGTTTGCTTTGTTCGTTGTTAACCGTGTCAGCATCACAAAGTTTCTCGTTAAAGTCCATTTGGTCAATCTTGGACAACTCCATGGGTTGTGGTATAAGCGGGTCTGGCCCGCGCATGATTGGCCCCGGGACCCCGGAACCGGGGAGCTGACTGGCGTCTCCCTTGGTACCCATATTGCTGTTACAACATAATTCCGCTATCTGCACAGATCACACCAGCATCACAGTACCAATGTCCACAGACCATCACCTGGAACAGAGACAGCAGACATGTCACATTATGATACCATCACACCTAGATCAGGGGGAGTCACTCTGAATATGTCACATAATGGCGACAAATGTCATAGACCATCACCTGGATCAGGGAGAGAAGACATTTTACATGATAACTTCATATTTCCCTTCATAAAGCATCCAACAACTGCCTGACAAGCACATCAGTCTTAATACAAAGTGGTAAGTTTAGTACGGATGGAAAACAACTACATGTACAGTATATCCTCAGTTGGTGTACAATAGTTAAGCTTCAAATACTGTTACAAAACTTTCTCATGATATTTAAGTTTATTGATCCAGCATCTAATACAGTATCAATACAAATCCTACCTAATATAATGATAACTTCACAAATCACAACATTAGCCACTGACATCTGAGCCTGCTCTGCTGCGGAGGCTGACTAGACTTATCATCACAGATAGGTATCTACCTCGGGATCAGGCAGCAGTAGACTACAGAGACAAGCTACCTGTCATATCTAGTGCAGTATCTCTTGTCAGATCACAACCCCAAACTTTACCTCCTCAACCACACTTTCTCTAAACACACTAACTTACAGCTCCACTTACTTAGAGATCCACTAAACACACAGATCCAATTAAAATCAAAGAGCCTTTAGCTCACAGGTCTTCTGACTCACAGATCCTCTGACTTACTGAGTCACTATAATGTACAGAACCCTCAACTCACAGATCCTTTGATTTACTGAGTCAGTTTAACTTACAGAAACATCAACTCACAGATCCTCTGACTTACCGAGTCACTAACTTACAGAAACATTAACTCACAGATTCTCTGACTTACTGAGTCACTAACTCACAGAACCATCAACTCACAGACCCACTAACTTACAGAAACATCAACTCACATATCCTCTGACTTACTGAGTCACTAACTTTCAGGAACATCAACCCACAGATCCTCTGACTTCCTAGGTCAGTATAACGTACAGAACCATCAACTAACAGATCCTCTAACTTACTTCCTGAGTCAGTATAATGTACAGAACCATCAACTAACAGATCCTCTAACTTACTTCCTGAGTCAGTATAATGTACAGAACCATCAACTAACAGATCCTCTAACTTACTTCCTGAGTCAGTATAATGTACAGAACCATCAACTAACAGATCCTCTAACTTACTTCCTGAGTCAGTATAATGTACAGAACCATCAACTAACAGATCCTCTAACTTACTTCCTGAGTCAGTATAATGTACAGAACCATCAACTAACAGATCCTCTAACTTACTTCCTGAGTCAGTATAATGTACAGAACCATCAACTAACAGATCCTCTAACTTACTTCCTGAGTCAGTATAATGTACAGAACCATCAACTAACAGATCCTCTAACTTACTTCCTGAGTCAGTATAATGTACAGAACCATCAACTAACAGATCCTCTAACTTACTTCCTGAGTCAGTATAATGTACAGAACCATCAACTAACAGATCCTCTAACTTACTTCCTGAGTCAGTATAATGTACAGAACCATCAACTAACAGATCCTCTAACTTACTTCCTGAGTCAGTATAATGTACAGAACCATCAACTAACAGATCCTCTGACTTACTTCCTGAGTCAGTATAATGTACAGAACCATCAACTAACAGATCTTCTGACATACTTCCTGAGTCAGTATAATGTACAGAACCATCAGCTAACAGATCCTCTGACATACTTCCTGAGTCAGTATAACGTACAGAACCATCAACTAACAGATCCTCTAACTTACTTCCTGAGTCAGTATAACGTACAGAACCATCAACTATGATATAGCTACATAGGACTCACAACATCTTAATACAGCACATGGTCAGCTATATGATATAGCTACATAGGACTCACAATCACTTAATACAGCACATGGTCAGCTCTATGATATAGCTACATAGGACTCACAACCACTTAATACAGTACATGATCACCCATATAATATAGCAAGGATTCACATCCACTTAATACAGCACATGGTCAGCTATATAATATAGCTACATAGGACTCACAACCCCTTAATACAGTACATGGTCTGCTATATAATATAGCTACATAGGACTCACAACCACTTAATACAGTACATGGTCACCCATATAATATAGCAAGGATTCACAACCACTTAATACAGCACATGGTCAGCTATATAATATAGCTACATAGGACTCACAACCACTTAATACAGCACATGGTCAGCTTTATAATATAGCAAGGACTCACAACCACTTAATACAGCTATGTAAAAGGACTCACAACCACTAATATAGCTATGTAAAAGGACTCACAACCAGTACAGTACATACATTGTTTTATGATAAAATATATTATACAATAGAGATCAAAGATTCTGACGTGTAACACATTATCCTACCTAAAGTGGTAGTGTGTTTTGATGGTAGAATACATTCATGTCAATCAATCTAAAGAAGCTGTTTACACAATAGAAAATAATAAATAATAACAAGAGGCCCATGGGCCTTAACGGTCACCTGATATATTTATACAGAGAGCTGATTTTGTTTTTAACATAAACAGAAATATTATTCAAAGTGACAAAAAACAATAAAACCACCTTATTCAATATCTAGCATACAGATTTCAGACTAAAAAGTATTTGAAACTAGCACCTCTGATTCTAAACAAGGAAAATGAAGAAATTTTAGCACACTGACTCCTTTGAGCACCACCCTACTAAAGTTTACCCCCTCCCCAGGGGGAAAGGTGAGACCCCAGGGTCATGAAATTCACAATTTCGGTAAAGCACCTTAAGACCCTTCCATCTATGAAGAGCATTTGATTCTACCATATCAAGGTCTTAAGAAGAAGATTTTTGAAATTTCAGTAAATTCAACCCTTTTTTGCCCCACCCATCAGCCCCTGGGGGTCAGTCAGGGCTCATATGTGCATTCTATCAAACTGCTACCTAATACTGATAATGCTAACCCAAATTGAATTACTTCCAAGGGAAATTAAACAAATGTTGGTCCAAAATGTGATTTCCCTATATAAACTATAGTAAAGTTTACCCCCTCCCCAGGGGGAAAGGAGAGACCCCAGGGTCATGAAATTCCCAATTTCGGTAAAGCACCTTAAGACCCTTCCATCTATGAAGATCATTTGATTCTACCATATCAAGGTCTTAAGAAGAAGATTTTTGAAATTTCAGTAAATTAAACCCTTTTTTGCCCCGCCCATCAGCCCCTGGGGGTCAGTCAGGGCTCATATGTGCATTCTATCAAACTGCTACCTAATACTGATAATGCTAACCCAAATTGAATTACTTCCAATGGAAATTAAACAAATGTTGGTCCAAAATGTGATTTCCCTATATAAACTATAGTAAAGTTTACCCCCTCCCCAGGGGGAAACGTGAGACCTAGGCTATATCATACATTATACATCATCCTCCCTAAATACTCTGTAATTATGATAGACTATATTACACATTATACATCATCCTACCTAAATAGTCTGTGATTATGATAGACCTAAATAGTCTGTGATTATGATAGACTATATCACACATTATACATCATCCTACCTAAATACTCTGTGATTATGATAGAATACATTACACATTAAACATCTTCCTACCTAAATACTCTGTAATTATGATAGACTATATTACACATTATACATCACCCTACCTAAATACTCTGTAATTATGATAGGCTATATCATACATTATACATCATCCTACCTAAATACTCTGTAATTATGATAGACTATATTACACATTATACATCACCCTACCTAAAAAATCTGTAATTATGATCGGCTATATCATACATTATACATCATCCTACCTAAATACTCTGTAATTATGATAGACTATATCACACATTACAAACTGACCTACCTATAAAGGGTTGTTATTTTTTACATGGGATAAATGCCCTAATCTCAGTGTAGGCAGCTGTAAGACACTGGAGTCTATACCCATAGTGTGATACCTCTGGTGACATAACCTTACACTGATACCAGATGTCATGTGGTTACCTATAGCACCATCTGCTAGTCAATCCCTAGGGGTCCACTGGACCAGGAAATCTCTTATCAATTTAATCACAAAGGGATCATAATATCTTCATCAAAGATTCATGAGCTATTGCTGTTAGGGGCCAGACCTTATTCCTGATACTTAGTACACTGCTAGCTGTAACATGTCAGGGCTGGTCAGGTGTTGCAGTGGATAGCGCAATTGCCTTTCACCAAGGTGGCCGGGGTTCAATTCCCCAATCTGACATGAAAAGGTATGGGGTCACCTGGCCAACCACATGGTTTTTCTCAGGGTACTCTGGTTTCCTCCCACACTAAGGCCCCCCCCCCCCCCCCCGCATGCGTTTACATCAGGGCCAACAAGAGTGATAAATATAAGTTGAAATAACTTGCTTCATAATTGTTGTAAAATAAACAAAGTTTATACATATGTTAGGGGTACATTTTGTATTTAGGTGTATCTAAATGTTATAAACACTATATACACTATCTGTAATAACCACTATACACTATCTGTTATAAACACTATACACTTTCTGTTATAACCACTATACACTATCTGTTATAAACACTATACACTATCTGTTATAACCACTATACACTATCTGTTATAACCACTATACACTATCTGTTATAAACACTATACACTATCTGTTAAATAACCATTATATTATCTATGTTAAAAACACTATATAGTTTTACAGATACCTGTTCTGTATATTGCAATCTTTTATGATAATCTGATCCCCAGTCTCATAGATTATATTTTCTATAGTATAAATAATGTGACTTATATTACAGGTAAGTTGTCTAACTCAGGAGATGATAAATGTCACATAACAGGTAGCATGTATTACAATCATATTGACTAGTGCTATACTTTCTCATTAGTGTTTAACAGAATAACAGACCTCACATTCCACTTAGTGACCATCCACAACAGTCTGATCCAGTAATCCAGGTAAATCAAGGTAAATCCAGGTGAGCAAAACTAAAGGTATCACAGGTAATCCAAAGTGACCAGTCTGTGTGTCATAAAGGAAACGACGTGTTCCGGTGAAGCTGCTATCAACAGCAGTATTCAATTGTCAGCCACTAGACAACAGCAGCAGATCAACTGAGAGAGCAGGAGAGATCAATATGACACAATGACAGAGACTAGCACAATGAAAGTGGCTACACCAACCTGGGGGATGTCTGCTACTCCCGGGACACAGCCATGGGGTGTGTGTCTCCGGGACGTACACACACTGAATCTCACTAAGTCTCTATCAGCTCTCCTCTCATCACCACAACATCAGTGGTCGCGCTTGTTGGTGCCATACATGTATCGCCAAGGCGACTGGTGTGCACTGGAGAGGGTGACAGTGGCTGGCTGTCACTGGGGACATTGATTTCCCTTACTGTATAATTACTGCGCTAATAACACAATAGATCCTCCTTGTTACACAACCATACAACATCACAGGACCATATCAGACTGTTCTAATTACAAGCTTACAAAAACACAGGACCAAAACAGTCAGTTCTAATGACCAAAACAATCACAGTGGCCAGTCTGTTCTGATGACCAAAACAACCACAGGGACATACCAGTCTGCTCTGATGACTAAAACAACCACACTGACATACCAGTCTGTTCTAATGACCAAAACAACCACAGGGACATCCCAGACTGTTCTTATGACCAAAACAACCACAGGGACATCCCAGACTGTTCTAATAACTAAAACAACCACAGGGACATACCGGACTGTTCTAATAACTAAAACAACAACAGGGACATACCAGACTGCTCTGATGACTAAAACAACCACACGGACATACCAGTCTGTTCTAATGACTAAAACAACCACAGGGACATCCCAGTCTGTTCTAATGACCAAAACAACCACAGGGATATCCCAGTCTGTTCTAATGACCAAAACAAACACAGGGACATACCAGTCTGTTCTAATGACTAAAACAACCACAGGGACATACCAGTCTGTTCTTATGCCCAAAACAACCACAGGGACATAACAGTTTGTTCTAATGACCAAAACAACTACAGGGACATACCAGTCTGTTCTGATGACGAAAACAACCACAGGTACATACCAGTCTGTTCTGATGACCAAAAGAACAACAGGGATATACCAGACTGTTCTAATGACTAAAACAACCACAGGGACATCCCAGACTGTTCTTATGACCAAAACAACCACAGTGACATACCAGTCTGTTCTGATAACAAAAACAACCACAGGGACATACCAGACTGTTCTTATGACCAAAACAACCACAGGGACATACCAGTCTGTTCTGATGACTAAAACAACCACAGGGACATACCAGACTGTTCTAATAACTAAAACAACCACAGGGACATACCAGACTGCTCTGATGACTAAAACAACCACACTGACATACCAGTCTGTTCTAATGACCAAAACAACCACAGGGACATACCAGACTGGTCTAATGACCAAATTAAGCACAAGGCCATACCAAAACATAAACTTGACCATCAGGGCTGTTGCAATGATTCACCTGTTATTAATCTCACACTTGTTATCTTAAAAGCTACAGGCAAAATATCAGTGTTTGACTCATAAGAATCTTTTAAAAGATTTAAACATATGAACCCTGTGACCTTAAAAATCAAACAAATGCATGTTTCTGGCCAAATATCATCACTCCAGGCTTACGTAGACCTCTTGGTTATTCGGAAGAAGTCGTTTAAAGGGTTTAAACATATTTGACCCCTGTGACCTTGAATATAGGTCAAAATCATTCATTTGAACAAACTTGGTAGAACTTTATCCCAGGATATTACTGGCCAAATATCAACCACCTTAAGGCCTTTTGTTTATTCAGAAGAAGTTGTTTAATGGTTTTAATAATATTTGACCCCTGTGACCTTGAATATAAGTCAAGGTCATTCATTTGAACAAGCTTGGTAGCCCTTCATCCCAGCACGCTAATAGCCAAATATCATCATCCTAGGCCTTTTGGTTACTGAGAAGTAGTTGATGCTGGGCAGATGATGGGCAGAAGGACGCCGCACCACAGCTTAAGCTCACTCCCTCGGGCAGGTGAGCTAAAAACCAGCTTAAATAATAATACAACTCACTAGTGTAGGACCACTGGACAAATCTATAAATACAATTTGGTTTTATAAAATTGACTACTGTCTGTCAATATTAGACAACAAACAATGTTGATAGTTAAGTTCTACTGAAATTCTCATGTATATATCAACATCAATCAATTCCAGTAGTAGATAATAAATGGGTTATCTCCCCTACAAATGGGGCAGTAACTTACCTTGGTAACTACATGTAGATGTACAGGTGATACCCAGCTATGTTAGTGATGACCAACAGATAACCCTGGTAGGCATGTTAGACACTCTGGTACGTACATCACTGTGCAATGTAGGACAGCTATATAGGCTTACATAGGTCCAGCAAACTTTCACATCCAATTCCCCACACCTCCTTTAAACTGTCCACAAGATATATTGTACTTTTTCCCCCCAAGTCAGATCTTCAGCTACAAAGCAGTACACAGTTCCTGTTTAATTTCACTAGAAATCAACCATTATGAACCATCTCAGAACATAGATGAATATTATAATATCACCTGTTTCTTTTGTTACATGCAGCTGACCTATAGGTAATTTCAGACCAAATTTGGTCACTAGAACACAAGACATTTTAACATCTCTTAAACGCTTCTTAAGATATTGTTGTTTGAAATTTCAACTTTTAATTTTAAAGCTTTTAAACCACGTTGACCGGCTCCGGCTAGCACTTACAGTGAACATTTGACCTCATTACTGTAATAAAGAAAACGATTCACAGCTGGTCTTCATAACATACCCAAGTATCATGGCTCTAGACCAAATGCTTTTTAGGATATCGTTGTTTGAAGTTTTTAACATGTTTGACCCCTGTTACCTTGAAAGTAGGTCAAGTTCATTTTTACGAATAAACTTCATAGCACTCCATCCCAGGTACCTACTGGCCAAATATCATGACTCTGGACCTTATGGAACTTGAGAAGAAGATTGTTAAAGCTTTTAACCAATGTTGACGTTTGACCCCCAACTAGCACTTAAAGTTGACATTTGACCTCATTACTGTAATTAAGGAAAATACTTACACTGCTGATCTACATAACATACCCAAGTATCATGACTCTAGACCAAATGCTTTTTAGGATATCGTTGTTTGAAGTTTTTAACATATTTGACCCCTGTTACCTTGAAAGTAGGTCAAGTTCATTTTTACGAATAAACTTCATAGCACTCCATCCCAGGTACCTACTGGCCAAATATCATGACTCTGGACCTTATGGAACTTGAGAAGAAGATTGTTGAAGCTTTTAACCCATGTTGATGTTTGACCCCCAACTAGCACTTAAAGTTGACATTTGACCTCATTACTGTAATTAAGGAAAATACTTGCACTGCTGGTCTCCATAACATATCCAAGTATTATGACTCTAGTCTAAATGGTTCTTAGTAAATTGTTATCTGATTTTTTTAACATATTTGACCCCTGTGACCTTGAAAGTGGGTCAAGGTCATTTTAATGAGCACACTTTATAGCACTCTATCCCAGATACCTACTGGCCAAATATCATATGGTCCTCCAGTTCTTCAGAAGAAGTCGTTCAAAAGAAAAAGTTGACAGACGGACGATGGAAGCTTCAGTACGGTATAAGCTCACATGGCCCTTTGGGCGAGGTGAACTAATAATGAAGATATAATCAAGGTATTTAAGTGATGAAAAACATCTACAACATAACCAACCCAGGTAGATCAAGGTAGGTAGATAACCAATAATATTACAGTCTATCTAGCTGTACAAAAGGGTAACTTCATGTTAGGTAGCTACCCTTGGTAGAGTCGTGTGCTCACAGGACAAAGTTTACTCTACTATCAAATATTTAATATTTAAAAATCAAGAAAATAATTCAAAATATCCCAAAACTGTAAAATTTACTAATATTCTAAAATACTTAAATCTATGATAAGCAGCAAATTAAAAATAAAGTTATCATAAAACTCTGATAGTAAAAGCTATTTACAGAGGACATCGTTCAATTTGCCAAAACCATTGATAGAGCTGTGTAATACTGTCACTGATCTGTACAAAGGCCAGGAATGGCTATAACGTCTCCAACCAATTAGTGCAGAATCGAGATTTCCCCATCTGTCAACATAACAATACCACTTCCTGTCAGAAACCCTTCTACTTCCTGCCAGATTCTGGAGAAGATAGGGTTAGTGGCAGTTAATATAGAGACAAATAGCCACCATAAAGGTAAGACAATGGTGGTGAGCTGAGTTGACCAGGTTTAATGGCCCTGCTGCACGTCACACACCTGTCCCTGCTGCAGGAGATGCAACCACATCAATATTAAAGATACTGGAAATCAAATCAGTAAGCAGGGAATCAACATCTCCTGTACCAGGGATCAGGGTCCCCTGGGTAAAGCCTCAGAGACTAATATTCCAAACATCATCTCAAAAGAATGGTTAACAGTTTATTATCTAAAAACAGACATTCTGTTGAAATACCGACACACATTGACATTATAAACAGAATAACACTACACTGACATCATAAACAGAATAACACTACACCGACATCATACACAGAATAACACCACACCGACATCATACACAGAATAACACTACACTGACATCATACACAGAATAACACCAAACTGACATCATACACAGAATAAACCACACTTATATCATACACAGAATAACACCACACTGACATTATACACAGAATAACACCACATTGACATCATACACAGAATAACACCACATTGACATCATACACAGAATAACACCACACTGACATCATACACAGAATAACACCACACTGACATCCTACACAGAATAACACCACACTGACATTATACACAGAACAACACCACACTGACACTATACACAGAATAACACCACACTGACATTATACACAGAATAACACCACATTGACATCATACACAGAATAACACTACACTGACATCATACACCGAATAACACCACACTGACATCATACACAGAACAACACCACACTGACACTATACACAGAATAACACCACACTGACATCATACCCAGAATAACACTACACCGACATCATACACAGAATAATACTACACTGACATCATACACAGAATAACACTACACTGACATCATAAACAGAATAACACCACACTGACATCATACCCAGAATAACACTACACCGACATCATACACCGAATAATACTACACTGACATCATACACAGAATAACCCCAAACTGACATCATACACAGAATAAC